GTTAGGTTCAATGAGAAATTCAAAGCCAAAAAAACCCAAAGTAAATAACTGAGAGGTTAGTACGTGCTGGACCCCATACTGCTGTCATCCTAATGATCGTAGGCTTCATAGCTTAAAATTAACTTTGCTATATTTGTAATATATACATGTAACATTATAAGAGAGTATAGGTGACTGCTGTTTAGAAATACATTCTAGGTAAAGGAAGAGTAAATTTATTCTTTTAACAGGGAATACAATATCACCATATGTTCAGAGCTAAGATAATGCAGGCCACTACAAAGTTTTTATCTCTTGTCAAGGCAAGAATGAGAAATTGTAATGGATTTTTGTTCAGAGCTGATTTTATAACCTATCCCATTAAATGGCATTACATTCACATGACCTGATTTTACATAACAGTGTTATCATAGTACAATGGACTGGACAAAGAACCTGGCATTTTGCAGCAGCAGACAATGTTTAGATCAACTCATTATTAACTACTCTGTGCAGATTTTAAGTTTTCCTGTTTCAGTGAAATTAAAACTATTCTTCTTTCCTTTTAAATCACATGAAAAGGACCTGATTGCTTAGTTTGAATATGCTATGCACCAAAGTGACCCTTTAATTAAGACCGTGCTGAAACTGTCACCTAGAACATTGTTATAATCCTTCTATTTTCAACTGGAATTTTTAATAAATAATGCCTTTGAATTCATCTGTCAGTACCAACTAATAACTGTCTAATTAGTTAGCCAGTTACAACAAGATGTGACAAAAAGTAGAGGTCTCAAAGATATCATATTCCTTTATATTTTGTAATGATTGGTGGCTAGAAAGGAGAGAGGGACTCAGATCAGTCACAGAGAGTCTTAGGGATTGACTTGCCATTCTAAAGTGTCTGTCAGCTTTTCATCACTAGGTAAGTCAGCCAGTTCATGGGTAGGTCTAAACTTGCCACAGCAAGTGGTGCTCTGGCCTAATGAGACAGGTAGAGAACATGGCAAGAAATTGTTATGGTTAGGATATTATTTCTAAGCTAGTTTTATTTCAAGGTTTGCTTAGTCATTTCAAAAAGTATCTTCCTCTTTTGCAGGACTGTCAAAGAATATTTTTTTACTTCTTTTCATTTATCATTAAACTAAACTAGTGTCAGCTTTGAATTTTATTTAACTACTTCTGTTTCCCCAATTTTGTGTGATCGTTTGCTTGCACATGTAAGAGTCTCTGGGCATTTTCTCAGTTTTTTTTATCAGCAGCTGTCTGGATTCTGGATTTCTGTGGACTACTAGTGGCCCGAGGATCATCAGTTCAGGAGCCCTGGGACATGGAAGGAAGGGAGATATCAGAAAAGAGGCTTGCAGATGAGGAGAAAGACCTAAGGAAACTGTGGTACACATAATATAGAGAGTAGGAATATAAAAATGTGTAGAAGATTAATATTAGAGAACAAAGATCCATGGAAAGCCCCTTTTTGCAGAACTTTCTCATTAGATTTTGAAGTGCCCAGAGCTCCACGGACTTTGCTTCAACTGATGCCAGTCGCAGAATGTCCTTTGATGCCCACAGAAGCTTCAATAGACTGGCCTTGTATCCTTTCCACATGCTTACTGGTTTTCAGGTTTCCCTGGCCAAAAATACTGCATCATTCTGCATATCTTTATTCTGTAAGTAAATACATGTGACTATTTAAAAATAAGGTAAGTATAAAAGGGTTTTTCCCTATCTTACTTTTTCTAGGCAATGCCAAAGTGTCATTCTAAATGTGTAAACAGTTGTGTGCATGATCCATCCAGTAGGTTAGACAGTACATGACATTAAGTCCTTATCACTGAAGCATAACATTATTAATATGTGCTGAACACAATGGCTGACAGAGAACACTGGTCACAACCAGAGAGCATGACATGCCTTTCAGAGAAAAACGTTTTAGCAGATGCCCTTATTGAACATTAAAGAACACTGAAGTGAAATAGTCTGTGCTGTGGAGTCAGTGTGAAAGGGATATTTTGGTGCAAAACAAGACTTGATCCTCATATTATATGCCTAAACACATACCAGTTGAAAGTTTTGCTTATTCTGAATATTAAAATCAGTTACCACTACCCATTCGGATGAAGTAAAATTTTGCTTCTCATAGTTGGTCTTGGATTAATGTTCACTGCCAATAATAACCTCATGTAAAGCCTTGGAAAGAGCAGGTCAGACAAAGGATTGCCCTCATGTGCATCAGAAGTACTTCTCCCCATTGTTTAAAAAGCCCTCCTAGACAACAAATTTAAAAAAAAAAAAAAAAAAAAAAAAAAAAAAAAGCAAAAAACACAAACGAAACCCACCATAAAGAAGGGCATTGTAAGAGCTGGTCAGGTCATTTGATACTGCATGCTACAGTTTCTTTCTTTTCTGACCATGCATGAATAATCTTGTGAATTTGGAGTTTAGATAGCACAAGTTGTCTAACAAAAATACAGTTACTCATGAACAATTTGGATTTCAGTGTGTATGTGAAGAAAATGGCTCAACACAAGGCTTTTTGTATTAAAGCCATCTGTGACTCACAGTATCATCATGCATGATATGGAGTCATTGTATGAATGCAGTAATGCATGAAGGGCCATGGAAATGGCATATGAAAAGCCACTTCAGGATGCCATGCACAGTTCCTGGAAGTGGTAATAATATGGGGTTTGAGGAAAAGTGATGTGCTTACAAATCCTGCTGGTGCTAAAATCAGCTGTCTTTTCTGTACTTAATATAGTTGTACGTGAGTTTTTGGTGCATTGTAATGACGTTATTAGCACGAGTTTTTTACTTGGGTATGAGAAAGATGTGAGTCATGCAGCTTCTCCAAAAGAGAGCAGATGAAATGTTGATAGCACACTAATGTGTATTCTGTATGTATGATAAGTACTCCAGAAAAAATTTTCTTTGAGATATGGTAGAGTGCCCTTAAGAATCACGTAGTACAGTTTTTTCTTATCTGCCCATCAGTTTTTTGTAGATGAATTTTGGAGTCCATTAAAATCACATGTAAAACTCACTGATTTCAGCAGCTCCAGATTTTATCCTGTAAGTTCCCAAACATTGCAAAGAGGAGATATAAACACATTTTCAACCTGAAATAGAATTACTGCACAAAAATAATAATTTACATATAAATAAATATTGTCTTCTTCTCCCATAGATGACACATGAATTTGAAGAACTCTGCAGGTCTGCATAAATAAATTAATGAAATTTTGACTCCAGATTATATAAAGATTCATCCATTCTGACATAAATCAAATTAATCCTCTTTGAATCCACTGAAATGATGATTCCAGGCTAATTAAATCTCTTTGAATTCTCATTAACTGTTAGCACAGCTGATTCTTTGACCGATTCATTACCATGTTTGGTGGCATATGCTCAAAAAGACAAAAAAAAAAAAACAAAAACAAAAAAGGACCTTACAATTTAATGCAAGATAGAACAAAGCTGCAGATTTTAGCCTTTATCTTGTAAACATTGTAAGGTACATGGAGCAGTAATCTAATTTAAGCATTGCATGAGGGCCTTCTGAATTGCCATTCAAATTGTTTCCTAACTTTGACAAATTGTAAATTAATTACTCAGATACATGTAGATTTTCACCTGTCAAACCGAGTTAAAACTATTAAGAAAATAATTGTTAAAATATCCACAGTATAACATTAACAAATAGATATCCACCACTAAATTTGCTAGTTTGTAATAGCAAAACATGCTAATTCAGCTTTAACAATTTTTAGAAAGACAAGAAAAAGTAATGTCTTTATCGCATGAACATCTCTGAGATGTTTATGTTTACATGACAACTTCCAAGAAATTCTTATCCAATTCCATCAGTCATACAGGTATGCTAAAGCTACTATCTACTAAAGTAAATACATAGGCTGGATAAAATACTAGTATATTTAATAATCAATTATCCATTGAGAAACTATGTAACTTGGGTGAAGTGCCCCTGTATTTGGCAGAACTCTGAAGGAAGAAATGTACAAGATCTCAAAGGAAATGGAGCAATCGGCAGCCATTTTCCACCCTGTGTTTCAGCAACAGCAGAGCTGTGCAGAGCTGCGCAAAGCTTTTTGCATTCCGTTTCCATGATCTAGCATTGCTCCACAGAACAAGTTCAGCTTCTTGGCTTGTGGCGAAGGTGGGGGGTGGGATTTCCGAGGTCTCTATTTCCATAACAGCCCTGCACAGACAAACCGAGCATCTGTACCTGAATGTGATGGGGTGCACCACATCAGGCCTTGCCACAGATATCAAACTGCCTGACTAGTCTTTTAGAAGAACGGGATACTGTATTATTTAATCTATCCTTAATATGTTCCACGTTAAGCATAATGCCTGCTGTCATGTTTCTTGATTTTCACAAGCTAATCCAAGTTGCTGTTACTTATTACATAACTGTACTGAAATGCAATCCTAGAGGCTGCTTCAGGTTGTCTCTTACAGATTCCCATTATTTATGTAACATCTCAGAAAACCACTCCAAAGACACATCTAGAGGAAGGGAAGACCTAAGACTGATCGGTTCCTCCCAGCCCAAAGAAAGGAAAACTGTGAGTAGTAGGTATATCTTCACTGTAAAGGTGAATCCCTGAAATCCACGTGGCAGATAAACTTGTGTTATTCCTATTAATAGTATCTTGGAAAACAGCTACTGCTTTATGTTATTTTCTTTTTGTGATAACCAGAAGACTCCTTGTTCTCCCAGTTCACAGAGAGATGCCCAAAGCCATCTCTGACAGGGATGGAGTCCAGCTCCCTTTCCTTCTGGGTGCCCACATTCTTGCCCAGCTCCCTCTGTCCACTCAGATCAGCGCTCACACTTCAAATACTTTTCATGCTAGCTTCATTGCTAGCTGAGACAAAAAGTCTAGAATAACAGGATAAAAGCTTTATTTCACAGACTTTTCCAAGCCCAACACATTCTGAAAGTTATGCGTAGAGGAGCTGACTTTCTTTTTCTCTTTCCTTTTTATCCTTACCTCAGGGAGAAGTGAGGAACAGCAGCCACACTGAGGGGAAGTGAGAGCAGCACACTGAGCCCGGTGGAAACAGAAAGGAAGCAGTAGATCATTTCAGTGAGAGCAGTATGTCTTGGCGTCGTTCCTTGACACCACCCCCACTATCCCAGCCTCCTCTGCCCGTCCCACACTCACACATCTAAAAAGCAGATGGAAAATATTCTGCCAGAAGACATTGAAATACAGTGTTAGAAAGTGACTCTCATAAGGCTGGAGAAAGTGATGGAGAACTCTGGCAGGCGAATTAAATTATTCATAGTCAGTGGCATTTTGGAAGGAAAAGCAGGAAGGGAATAGGAGACTGAAAGAAGTTATAGGGATTGTACAAGAACCATCTGGGATATTGGAAACGGATGCACTTCAGCTTGCTACCCTTCAGAGAGAGTGTGGCTAATACTGGGTTAAGGTGGCGTTACCAGTCTTCCCAGTTTGTTTTCAGAGCTCAGCGTACTCTAATGCTGCCATGACATTATAACAGAGCCAGCGCTGCCAAATCTGGTTCCCCTAAGTGGATTTTACTTTTTCTAATGGCACTGAGCAATGATGTTTAGATACTGAAGTCACTGTTATTTACTCGTCTGCCGTGTCAATTTGTACACATACTAGTCTCATTTGGAATTTAAAGGTGTGACACGGAGAAGAGATGCTGATCAGTGTCATTCTCTGTGCTTCAGTGATGAAACTTTTCTTAAAAACTTAGTTTTTCCCAATTTCATGTTTCCTTATATGTTTCTGAAAGACTACAGGGCCTGTTCTCATAAGAACTAAGCTATTCTACATTCATAATAAAAGGTGCCTTTTCTTGGTATGACTTACTAAGAAAACTGCATGGCATATTATATAATAGTAACATTTAGAAATTAATCCAGTTCCACCCCCTAAGTCTTCCATGGGAAGAGAAGGGAGGAGAGGAAAAAAGAACCACGTGTGAAAGAGACCAGCCACCGCAATCAGTGTTTTTATTAACATATTGAGATACCATGGTGATGAGCACAGGAGGTCAACCTGGAAAGGATTTTTTTCTTTCTGTTATTTCTTCGAGTTTTAGGCATATGATGTTGGCAAATATCTAATGCATTTTCCATTAATAAATCTATCCCACCATGTATGGTTTTGTACCAAAGATAATAGAAACCAGATGGAGTTTGCCCACTTGAATAGATAGATGTGAGTAGTACATACTTGCGTACACATACAGACAGATACTAAAAATGAGAGATTCAGTGAAAGCAGGTCTTCTTTCCCTCTCATCACCAGCATTCTGAGTTTAACTCCAATAAAAATGATTTTATTCACTTCCAGAATTACATCAAGAAAGCATTGTATTTAGATTTGGATACATACAAAATGAAGTCTATACCTTTCCAGAAGCATTTGCAAGCACTTTATTCTCTCTGTTCCCCAAAACAATCTGCTGTGGGTTCTTCACATTCTAGTCTAACTCATAGAAGCTGACCTATGTTGCAGAAATATTCCAGGCATTGTAATTTTCCCATCGTCACAATCTTATACTGCAGGAAACCATCTTTTTTGCTCGAATTTGCAAATAAGACAGCACCTACCATAGTAATCTAATGACCTGAAGGAATTGTTACACAATTAATCCTTTTGAGTTTTATTGTAGAAATCGGTGAGTGCTTCAGTATCCTGTGGCATATTGGTCTATTGTTGTTTTCAGCATGCAAATTCTTTAGGCCAGAGATCATGCTTTTGGTTATAAATCACTTAGTAGATTTGGGATACAAATGGAAAAATTATAATGAAAACAACAATAATCAACATGAAGCAGCAGAAAGCAATCAGTAGGGAAAAGATAAATGGTTGTCAGTAGGAACGTTAGGCATGTGTGCCCGTGTGTAGATAAACACCAAGCAGATTGCTTGCTCAAACATTATTTTTTTTTTTAATTTTTGCCTGAGGGACACTGAATTTCTCTCAAGACTGATTGTAATGAATGTATCTGACATAACGGTGTTTGCTACTTGGGGCAGCTCTTCTACAGGAAAGCTACTCAAATTACCATTCCAAAATGGTGTTCCATTAAAACAAATATTGAATATCATTTTCATTGTGAGTTTGCAGAAATAATTGACAAAGGAATTCTCAGCAGAATCTCTAAAAACCAAAACCTAGTTATTTCCTAAGAATACATTTTTAAAAATATGAATTTGCTTTTCTTAATCCTAAAAATTTTTTTTGAGATTAAAAAAAAAGCTAAACAATATGTAACACTCAAAAATAATGAAAGACCACAAGTATTTCCAGTAAGAATAAATTTGTGATGTGAATGCAGTTAGAAACTAATATGGACATAAGTTTCCTAATAATCCTTTTGGATGAGTACCTAGGAAAACAAAATTAGACTTTTCTTAATTTATTACCAAAATATTAAATGCTTGCCTATCCATTCTACTAAAACAGTTTTAGCACTCACACATACAAACAGACATATGTAGCATGCAAACCCTATTTACAGATTGAATTACAGTTAATATTGTTTGACTGGCAGAATATATTTATAAACCCTATTAATTCTTAGCCTGTGTGCACATCTAGTGCCCTTACTGGCAATCCATGCTCAGGACCTGCAAAGAAGTCTGCCCATCATATCTTTATGGTGTGGCATGGCTGCCATTCACTGGTGCAGAGAACATTGCAGAGTCAATCTTTCAACACGCTAATTTTATTCTCTTGCCCTCAAAATGTAATTTTCAGCAGAAAAACATAAATTACTTACTATGTTTGCAGTAGCATTATCTTGCATAGGGGTAAACAGAAACTCCAGGGTAGATTGCCTAGCTGGATTTCTTCCATGGAAATTAAAAATGTCATTAAAAAGTGAAAAGCTGGGCTTCTGCTTTCCATTTACTAAATCTAGCTCTTTGCCAAATCTCCAGGTGGACTAAGAAGCGGAAATTCTGCCAAGGTGTGACAGGGGGACAGGCCTTCAAGGAAAGAACCCTGGGAGGTGGTGGTCAAGACAAACCAAGACAAAAAAATCTGGAGAGGGTTGAAGGGAAAAGCTTGCCTGGGAAAAAAGACAAGATAAGCAGATGGTCCTCCTGCTTAGGATGCCCACAGCAGATGCTTGTAGAAGAGGTTGAGCGAGTGCTTCTGTGTGAGCATCTCATCTCACTCTAAGTGGTCTCATATCCACAAGGCATGTGAGGAACCTCACAGGGCAGAGCATCTTTATGTTCTGCATGTAGTGTAGTTCCATCAGAACAGCACCATGGGCAAGCCCAGCATCTCTGCTGGATTATACTGCCAAGAAAACAATTCTGGAGCTGCCCTTGGCAACCTTCATTTTGATGAGAGCAGGTGTACTAGAGTGCAGCGCAAAAGAAGGCCATAAGAGTGAGCAGGTCAGGCTCATCTGAATGCCACTGTGCCTTGTAGGAGTGGAGTGTGGGAGAGATTTTCCAGATTTTAATCAGGAGGATTGATTCCTCTCTAGTCTGAATGTGCCCTCTGCTGAAAGAGCTGGCAGGCAGGAAAGCTGAGGTCACAGCAGTATCTGATACTGGATGCGGAATCATGTTGCTACTGCTTCTTTTGGTAAAGTTTTTGTTTTGAAGTTTGGATGAAATTGTGGTTTAGTGCCTGTAGCAGGATTTGGGCTTTTTCAGATTGGGCACCCAGCTTGAAGCTGGTAGGGATTTTTGTCATTAAAGTGAATGGGGCTCAGCAGATTCCTGATGAGTGACTATAAATCTTCTCTTCTTATGATCAGAGAAAGGTAATCATATGGAGACAATGCTGAAGGAGAAAGCAAGGACCCGGAGTCTCAGAACACCATTGCAAGGATGGATGTCAAACAGCTACTGTCATGTGTAGTTCTGAGAGTCATAAAGGCACAAAACCCAAAATAAGATCTCTCAGCTTTTCCAGGTTAATGTATATAAATATATAGATTTTTGAACTAGTTTATCTGCTAAAAATTATAGATAAATCTTTAAATATTATATCCTAGGTATAAGTTCTCACCTTGGGTTTGGTTAGGCACTCCTGCCTAAGACCAGCAGTTCTTAACGCCCTCTATGGATAAAACTCAGAATTACAAAATAATTCAGTCCGGAAGGGACCTCTGGAGGCTGCTAGTCCAACACGTTACTAGAAGCAGGGTCAGTTCTGAGATCACACCAAGTTGCTCAGGGCTTCATTCAGCTGTGTCTTGAAACCTCCAGTGCGAGCGCAAAGCCTCTCTGGGCCCTTGTCCCACTGCTTGACTCTTCTTATGGGGAAACAGCTTCTCTTTATATCCATCCTGAATCTCTTCTGTTTCACTTTATGCCTTTTCTCCTCTGTGAACAGCCTGGCTCCATCTTCTTGATGACTTCCTCATAGGCACTGGGGGGGTGCTGTTCTCCAGGCTAATCAAGTTGCAATCCCTCAAGCTCTCATCTGTTTTGGGTTGGGTTTTTTTTTTTTGTTTTTTTTTTTTTTTTGAGTAAACTAATATTTCTGACACTTCTGTGCCCTGGCAAATAGAATTTGAATTGACCAGTGTGCTCAGAAGTCGTTAAAGGGAACTGATGAACAAAGCTTCAGATGAAGAGTGGGACAGATCCTTTTAGAAACATTATTTAGAGGTTAAAAGAGGGAATAAAAATTATCTTCTCTAGCTAACATTGCAAGGCTGTTCAAAACGGATGAATCAGATCACATCTGAAGCTTCTAAAAATTCTGGGCAGTACTTAAACAGCACTATGAAAAGAGAAATATAGCAAAACAGCATGTCAGAAGGCAGCTATGGGAATATAATCTGCTTGACCCTGTAGCAGTCATTTTGATAAAAGTCCAACTAAAAGAGTTTTCATGGAAGCTAACTTTAGCCTAGTGAGGCTAATCACCTCTGCAGTCACTGAAGAGAAACACTATCCCATAATGGCCCTGCATGCTCCTCTGCCTCTGCTCTGGCTATATAGGCAGTCTGGTGACATGAGTCTGAGTGGGCTAAAGCAGACTTCATGAATGCCCTACAAAAGCCTGTCTACACAGTTATGATGTTAGGTAAGCTGCATCCACTAAAGGCAGATTTTTCTGACAGCCCAGTGCGCTGAAAA